AATACGCAAACATTCCCCGAAGGAGCCCAACAAGCAGCTGATCATTGGCAAACTTCTGTAACCATAAGCAGTCGTTCCAACACCAAGCCGGAAATCATTTCATGACTGGAAAGTAAATGAAAAGGTTTTTCCAAGTCATTGCATTCCCGAAAGATGATTTTAAAAATATTAGTGGTCATCCGAAAAAAAAAAAAGCCTTCACTTTATCGCCTTTGTGGGCTGAATCTGGAACTGAGTCTGAAACTGGAATACTGTGGTCAGAATAACTTCAAACAGCAATGCAGTGCGGTTAAAGTATGACCACCACAAAAGAGTTTCCTAATTTAAACAGCAGCACTGTTGCCGTTCACTGAAGTATTACCCTCCACTGACCATTAATATTTCCAGGGGCGTAACATATTTGTAGTGCTCTGCACTGGAAAGATAATTTGAGCCAGTAGACGCAGAGACCATATATATATATATATATATATATATATATATATATATATATATATATATATATATATATATATATATATATTTGTGAAACTGAAAAATTTACAAAAAATGACATGATATATTTTGTTTTTGACTGTCATGGCTGACTGCATGACACAGCCATGCATGCAGGGGACCATGTTGTTTTCTTTTAACGTAATCTTTTTTTGCAAGGCAGTGATTTTCCACCAGGGATAAGCTCCGTTGGAATGTGCAAGAATTTCCTCCCACTGACAGTGTCTTTATAAGGGTTATCCCTGTGTAGACCAGAAGGACCATCTGGAGATCATTTGTTGTAACCAAATTTTTTATGAGACCTCTATCACCCTCCATGGTGGAAGAGATTTCGTCTTTCCTCTCCCCACACTGTTCCGCTGAAAGACTCTCAAGCCGCTGTTGTGCAGCAGTTACATCTCCCACTGATAGCTGTTCAGTGAATATGCCGATAACTTAATTGTGTTTTGTTTGGAATACAGATGGAGCCAAACATCTTTGAACGGAGTTAAAGGGATTTTTATTGGGCAGAATCCTTGGACACGATGGGTTTTGTAACCTCAGCGGAGCATCACTGCTTTGATAAAAACGCAGCTCAGTTTAACTCTGCCCTGTAGGCCCTTCTCCGCACTCATTTTGAACACTTCCATACATCCGTTTGCAGGGATCGCTTCCAACACAGTTCAGCAATGCTATCATGTGCCAAAACACACAAAGGCCGAATGATCTTCTGTGCTCTTCGCTGAAAAGGCGATTCATAAAGTCCCTGATATGAGATCAGCACATTGGGCTGATATCATTCGTCAAAGACGCCAAAATGGCTGCCTTGTGGATCAAGCAGCCTCATTAAAATAACATATGGCAGGATGGGGAACAACAACAGTATTAAGAATGAGATATTTATGTTCAACCAAATGGTGATAAGGAATAAAACTGAAATAGAGCTATTTTGGCATCAACAAGAGGGAAATACTAGTAAGTAAGACTGCCATTCAGTCTTGAGAATGGCTACAATGCATGGTGTGGTGTCGGCCTTCAGTGTTTTCCTACATATTCTGATGGTGAGAGATAACACAGAATGATATACAATTGGTAACAAAGCACAAGTGTTTGTCAGCTGACTCTGTCAACTCTGGGATTGCCCTTCCCCAGGTGTCTCCAACTCCAGTGCTAGAGAAAGTCTTCTGATTCTGATTCTGAGAACTACTGTCCAGCAGGTTTTCTAAGCTACATGGCTTTTTATGAGTCACACTTCTTCTCAAGTAAATACCAGGAACAGATCTGGCTTATCAGAAGCCAGGTAGGATAGAGAACCTACTGGATAGTAGCTCTCTAGACCTGGCCTACCCCATCTTACAGACTCTGTTAAGCTGATTGGGCAATAAAGCTTTATTCGGAAACACAACTTCTGAGGTAGATCCACACAGGGGGAACAAACCATTTTATATCGGTACTTCTGATTCTGAGTGACAGTAAAATTGTCAGGAGGAAAATGGGTTGACAGTGATCTGTAATTATATATTAATGCCTGTGAGGATTTGAAATGTCTTTCTGGACTGTGTCTCTTTCTTCTCTGTGAAATATTTGACACAGAGCCATGGCATTCCAGTTGCACCCCAGAAGAATGTGAAGTAAAGAGTAAGCCTCCTGAAATTCTCTCTTAATTTGGCAATTTCCTACGATACTTCCAAGACTTAAGCTGCAAGTTTCCTTTAAGCCCTAAAGCTGCACGTACTGCAGAAATAAAATAAACTTTCAAAGCCGTACATAACTAAGATTCAACATTAATAACCGTGCTCCAAACCAGCCTCTGCCTACATACTGCATGATGTGTTATTTAAACTTGAGTTCACATTTGACATGCAGATCAAGGCCGTAAGTTTGGTTTCAACATTGGTAGAGACCACATCAGCCCTGAACCCCCCCACCCCCCTAAACACACACGGTACTCCCACAATATTTTGTAAGGAGATGCCCCTACAGTACATACCCAAATCTATGCCCTTGATTCAGATACACATTTTACAAAACAGACCTGTTATAAATAATTACAAAAAAAACTGTAAAACCAAAATATTTTATATTTAGAAATTTTTCTAAGGTGTCATTTCTGTGACGTTCAGTGCTCCACAACCATAGCTTCAGTCACCCCCACCCTCTTAACTTACACCTTAAGTGAGACATGGTACACTGCACGCAATAACTAAAGAGAGGAGATAAAGACAGAGGAGATAAAACAACAGGCTTCACACCTTCATCGTTTTTCCCTTGGGGAGTGGCCAGCTGCTTCATACACACAGCAGAGCTGGGCTGGGGTGATATGCAGGCAGGCTGGAGGCTGTGGGGGTGTTTAGCGAGGAAAGGTTTCCTTTTCAGCTCAATGCAAGCTATAAACCCTGGGCTGCCAGCTGTCACATATCTGGCCTGACACTCAGGCTTTCAGACTCTCACGCTTATGCAACAAATCTTACAGTAAATCTATATTATTCCATTATAAACCTAGAATTAGCTACATAAAAAACTTTGGGGTAGTTTGCAAACCCTACAGACTATTTACAAGGTAATAAAACTGCTACATACATGTAAATGACAGTGCAGACTTGTCTCAAATTGGAAAATCTCACGCCAGCCAGCTGACCGAAGTTGACATCCCTGGGAACATGAAGTCATGAAGCATTGCGTTAATCAAAAGCTACAGAAAGACTTATTCCATTGAGTTACTTAACAGCATACTGGTTTTTGTGATATTAAATATTTATATAACCTATTCCTGAATGTGGAGGATGTGCAGGTAGACACTGAAATGTGCCCAAAATTAAAAATTTCAACAGTTAATTTCTGGGGATGTTCAGTGTATGATAGCTATTTGAAATACACAGATAATGCAGGTGTATTGACTACGTTTTAACCCAACATAAATACAACCATGGCATGTTTTGTAGAACCAGCATGATAAATCAATTTTATTCTGGTAAAAATGAAAACGCTGCTAAAATCTTTCAACAATGCAGTGATAATAAGCAACAAGGAGTAAACAGTGCATTACATACATTTAAGGTATAGATAAATTGGTTATAGATTATACAAACACACACGTCAAGTGTGCAACATTAGCATATGCAGACATTACACATATTATGTCTTAATTCTTTTTTAGACTAAATAGTTCACAAATCATCATCAATGGCAGCCAGTTATGGCTGAATAATTCAGTGTTGCTTGTCAGGTTCTAAACTTGGAAGCCAGTTGGGTTCTAAACCTGGACTTTTTTAAAACCAATAAACAAGCCTCGTTGCTGTCATGTGACAGCTTTGCCTGAATGGCGGCGAAGTGGAGCGCTGGCTCTGCCTGTACTTTTCCTGCACACCGTGGCGATGGTGGAAGGCTGCCAGTGTTGAAATGCAGCAGCGTGCAGAATTCCCTGGAAAGAATCAGGCCTTGCTGATGAAGCTGTACATTGGAACGTCATGGCAACCAGGGCTGACAATCAATTTTGACCTTTTTGCTTAATGATTCTAAAGATTTTGCCGTCAGAGTGGCACCGGGGCTTAGTGGGATGCTGCACCTGCAGGACTGGGGCTGCAGTTCCCACCCTTTATCTGTGTGTGTGGATTAGGTTTATATTACATTGTGGGGGCCAAATGTCCCCCACAATATAATAAAAATCTGTTATTCTGACATTGTGGGGACCATTTTTCAGGTCCCCACAAAGATCTGTGAATGCAATCAAAAAACTAAAAATGCCTTGTAAACAGTCTTGTATTTTCTTTGGTTACTTATGGTTAAGGTTAGGGCTGGGTAGGGGTTAAGGTCATCATGTTGGGATTAGAGTTTTCCCCAAGAGGATATAATTTAAAACCTGTGTGTGTGTGTGTGCGTGTGTGTGTGTGTGTGTGTGTGTGCGCCTCTCCTGTGGTGGCCTGGCATCCCACCCAAGATGCTCCTTGCTTTGTACCCTGCTGGTAGAGCTTCTAGCTGTCACCCCAAATCTGTCCTAGATAAGTGATCTGAATATGGCTGGATAGAATTTCCCATCATCCAATAGAATTTATTTTTGCAAAGACCAGGTCTGCTCTCTGGCCCAGTGGGGAGACAGCTTGTGCCAAAGTGACAGCAACATACCTGGAGATTATACAGGACACCTGAGCTGCACTGCACTTTCTGTCTTGGGCCATACCGTGACATAATATTACCCATTTGTGGACCACGCATTACTAGCAGTGCTGCAAAAATAAAATTAAATGATACTTTATTGATCCCTGGAGGGAAATTTGGATTCGATTATTTGTTAATTTATTAGTACTTAGTGTCAGGATAGTGGTATTCTGTGGTATATAACCCACACTTAAAAATGTGAAGTTAGATGACTGGCTCTTTTTAAAGACCATTATCTTTTCGATTTATAACACGTCCCTAATCACAAACTAAATAGCGTCTAAAGAGTTTCCCATGTCTAACTGGATACAGATTCATTCTGCAATTCACATGACTCCGAAATCAGTTCCGAGCTTCAGTACTCACGAAAAAAAGGTTGAAATATTTAATAGTGGCAGAATTTAATCAAAGGACACTTCAGATTACAACACAACAGTGCACGTATCTGGAATTATAATCACATAAGAAGAATGTGTTGATTACAACTGCGCTGAAATTAACATGATTACAATAAGTCACATTCAGATTTGTTAAATATAACCACTTTCATTTACTATGAATTTGCATTATACTACAATATTCAGTTATATTAAAACTTGTGCATCATATAAAACTCCACAATTTCACTCATGTATCTGCATACATGTAATAATAAAAGCATTATCAGCTATGCTATTATCACCTACTGCATTAGCATGACTGTGTCCAAAATTTGGCATTCCGCAAAAAAACACATTCCAACACAGCCAATTACAATTACATCTGAATGGTTTTAGACTGTCGTCTATCTTAAGGCATCCAGATCTTTACTGGCTGGGTGAACTAGTTGGTTAAATATGACTTAAATAAAAACCTTTCGATAATAAAGACTGCATTGCAGACAAAGAAGAATTATCAGTTTCTGCTTCTTCTTAAAATCACTATATTTAGGTATTTCTCGTGATATTAAGATTTATAGTTGCATACTTGGGTTTTCACACAAAAGGTGGACCACAGTTTCTTAGAAGGTAATAAAAAACTCCCGGTGAAACAGATCTACAACGTAAAGTAACCGTGCAGCACTTGTTGATGTGTTTTTGATCGAAGCCCACGAGCCACTTCAGCTGTGTTAAGGACTGAGAGGTTGAGAGTAACAGAGGACATTCTATAAGGGCTCCTCACCTCCCCCAGCCCCCGAACCCCAGAAGCTCCTCACAGAAAAGTCACATCGTCCTGTGACTGTACCCAGTGCCAGTGGGCATCGTACTCCAGGTTCATTCTGCCGTTCAGTCCGTTTAGCATTTTTGCTTCCAGGTCAACCTTCCCGTTCTTGTAGGGCTTGACTTTGGGGCTCTGGCTCTGAGTAAGTTTCTCAACTAGGCTGGCGCATGCAGAGTCCTGGTCGACCCCGTGCTGAACATTCTTCTCAGGGAGCCCGTGATTCTTGCCCGCCTGTGCTTGCCCAGCATCCTTGGCACCTGGGGCCGCTCTTCCTGGCTCTGTAGCTTTGGAAGTCTCAGATGGTGGCCTGGTCCAGACCGAAGCCTCGACTTTGGCTCGCTCAACCTTGCCCGACCCAGCACCAGTCTGGCCACAGAGCTCTGTGCCCAGGGGAGCGGGACAGTGTGTCGATTCAGAGCCAGACGGGCAGTACTCGTCCAGGTCGTCAGCCAGCGTGTCGAGGTAGCTGCCGATGGAGATGTTGTCCAGGCGGTCATTGGGGTCGTGCAGGCTGCTCCAGCTATCTCGCAGCGAGGCGTCGGGCCCCTCGGCCAGGCTGTACTGGCTGCCGGTCAGGCTGCTGCAGTGGCTGGTCAGCGTGCCGCGTTCCTCCAGAAGCCACTTGAGCGACTCGACGCCCTCATGCAGCGCCAGGAGCTGCCGCAGGATCTTCACGTCCGCCGAGCGCAACAACGCCTGCAGGCCGGCGGGAGACAAGACGAGACATGAGCGCCTAAACGAAAGCAGACATATCTTATAAACGGCATGGACTGCGGGTCGTGTTGTTTATTTATTCTTATATTTACTAAAGATATTGAAATAAATACAATTGCTGAAAATAGCAAAGACCACAAAACACATTTGCTCGTGATCCCGCGGCTAGGTCGAGATTTTTCAGGTAATAAATTACACGACGAAACCAACGGGAGCAATTCTACTTTGTTGTGGTTTAAAAGCCTGCATCAAATTTCCTTTTCCGTGCTTTATGACTGCTAGTTCCAAAACAGCCATTAAATTGACTTTTATTACTTGATTGATGGCGAAACGGTTGCTTAATGGGCATCCTTTGTCATCCTGTGCCAGTTTCCCTGGGTTTGACTGAATGATTATTAATAAAAATCTAAGCAATGGACTGTAAATGAAATTCACCAGAACCGTCAAGCATACAGGTGAAACAGAAACTGCCGGATGAATGGCTGAGGACAAAGTTTCCATTAGTGGTTGTACTGGCTGGGGCTGTAAGTCACGTAGATTTGTGAAAGAGAACAAGGCGTGAGGAGCAAAGGCCGGATGTAGCTTCACAAGGCCTTTTCCAAAGAGCAGGCCTCAGGCAGCCAGGACGAGTGGCCGCACCCCAGCTTGTGTCTCGGCACCAGCTGGACGTGACGGGATTCTGAATAGCATATCGATAGCAGCGACGTGCCTCGTCTGGGCCAGCAGCACAAGCGACAGTGCCAGTCCGGAACACAAGCAGGGCGCTCACTGCCTGGGATCTGTCACCATGGAGATGCCCTGTTCCCATTCCGCATCAATCCCGTCACACGCACGCCTTTGGGATGTACTGTAAGACTACTGGACCTAATGTCAAAAAGATGTACAAAATCAGAGGACCGAGTCATTGAGGTGTTTCTGAGCCATTTCATCAAGCTTTAGTACAAAGTCACTTTTAAGAGCATAAATCAGAAATAATTTAAAGCTAGTTAGCTGTTAGCACTGGGAACTGAGAGAGGAAGTGTGCCCAATATACTAAAATACAGCACAAGTATTTAACTAAAACCCGACTTTAATGCCTATTTTAATAAACAGCAGGACACTTTTATTAACTACAATCACTTAGACGGTTGAATGCTGATTGCTTATTTGATACTTGTCTTATTATAACTGGGGTTTATTCAAGAGCTACAGCTCATAAAAGAGAATCAAGAACCTCAAGCTTGTACTGCTGCCAGCTGGCTGGTAAATAAATCTCCGAAATACATCAGGCCATTATGCGGCAGGCTAATAAGGCAAGCTAATCATACTAAAGAGTTCCAGAAACGTCCTTAGTGCTACAAAAACACTGCAATCGCATCCAACCAGAAAGATCTTTGCAGAGAGACCCTGCAGGTCAGTCAATAATTTAACCAAATGGAGCCCAATTGATTATCTGTGGCCCCAATAAGTTAAATGCAAATTTCCATGGTTGTGGGGGAGAATCTGTACCGCATTTAGGCTTTGAAATGATACCATTTTAGGGGCATATTTTACTGAAGCTATTTTTGTATCTCTGATCTGTGCATATATACACTGTGGCCACATCTAACTAGTAGGCTACTGGGTAGGACCCAATTTTGCCTCCAGAACCAATTCAAGGGTACATAATCTATGCATCCAGAATGGCCTTTCTGTACACCACTGTTGTACTGAGCTGTTAGTTTTGCACCTGTGGCCTTCCCGTAAGCTTTAACATTTTCCTCCAACCTTTCTCATTGACAAAGGTGTTTTAGGCCATAAAACTGCTGCTGACTGGGAGTTATTTTGTTTATAACAACATTCTCTGTAAACTCTAGATAATTTTCTGAGATTATATAACCACCACTTATAGCACTAACATTCACACCTTTTCGAAACCACTCGGCTCTCGCACCTCAGCCTTCCTAATGCTGTGTTCCATTCCAACTGGGAAGTCGGAATTTCCGAGTTCCTATAGTTGGAAATTTCTACTGGAATGCCCCCTGAGGTCGGCGTTCTAACCCGGAAAGTCGAAGGAACCTCTAAACCTCAACCTCAGAATTCAAGATGTCTGCACCCTTCATCAACAGAAGTGCAAGCTGTAGATATATACTGTTTATTAGTACTTGCATTTTATTTGTGTCTCATTAAATCGGTTGTATGCACAGTGCTGTCCAACCTCCACCTGTGGACATGTTGTTACCATGTTTAGATGCACAAAATTCCACATAACGCGTTATCGACTGGTATTGCTAATGATGGCTAACAATGAACCTGGCTAGAACTGGTATTGCTAAATGGCTTTCCGACTTGTTGTACTGTAATGCAGTTAATTCGGGTGTGACATCATTCCCTGACCTCTGACCTCTGAGGTAAATGTAACGCAGCATAGCATTGAGCCCAACCTCTTGACCCTGTCTGGGTGCTGTATGTATTCAGTTGCAGCTGGATGATTCACTATTTGGAGGAACATGCTGTTTTCATTTAAAAAGCAGGTGTCCCAATAAACTGACCACTGTGTATATACAGTCTAGAGTGGGGTACGGCACATAACATTGTGTGGCTGCTTTTTAGAGGAACCAGCGAAGTCGAAATGAATTGGTGACCAGCCATCCAAGCAAACACTTCCTTAATTCTCCATTAAACTGTGAAACTCCACGAACACTTTCCATGACTCTATCCAAATGATCATATTTAAGCTGGACTTCAAGCTGACTGCAAGGAGCCCAACTGCAGGACAAGGACCTGAATCAATCTGTGGATGGTATCATATTCCACACTTGATTAGCTCAGCAGACAAATCCAGAAACCAGAAGTCGAGGTCTCCTTTTACCAAATGACACTAAAACACATCAAAATTGGCTCCTTTTATTGCTAAATTCTAAAAATAAAGAATTTGAAAAAATTACATTTGGGCCTGGTGCAGACATAACAGAGTCATGGCAGCCCAGTTTAAACTGGCAGATGAACACTGGGTTTCTCCATTGCCGAGTAACTGGTCTAGGCAGTGTCTGTTGGGGCGGGGGCCTTCAGGGCACTGCAAATAACATGAAATAGCAGCCCGGGGGGGGGGGGGGGGAAGCCATCTGTCATTTTCCAGCTCATCCTGATCACAACTCCGAAGGTCTCAGCACTTGCACTGAGACAGGAAAAAGCATCACAGACGATCTGTCAGACTTCCATAGGCACCCGGGACACAGAGCGATAGTGTCTACTAGAGCCAAATCGACTCCGATGGCTGATTAAATCTCTCTGGCAGTCTTATTCACAGCATACTCTCTGCCTTTCAGCTACCAGAGACATGGGGGGGGGAGCGTCACGTCTCTCTCTCGTCTGCTATTCTGCATAAAGACAAGAAGCTCTACCCATCATGCATTAAGAGAAGAGTTTTCACACGTTTTTTGTCAGCGAGACAATCGAAAGCTGCAGGCACGTAGCAGTGTGAGGATGCCGTTTCTGTCAGGGCTCCTGAAAGGCTAGAGACCATGTAGGGCTCAGTCTTAAACATATTTATCAGCAGCATCATCCATAGCTTAAATCCACACCCCTTCCAGCCTGTCAAACATTAGCCCACTGATATATCACCACATGAGGTCAAAGAGCAAACCAGGGCTCATTTACGCAGCACTCACTCACCAGCAAAGAAAATTAACATTTTTTTATTGTACAGTCATTGACTAATGGTTCTGCAATGTTGCAAACGCAAGTAATGCATAACCTTAACCGGAAAATAAATACTTCAAAGTTTCCGATACCAGCTTGTGAATGTTTAGACACTGATATCCCCACACTCTCCCCTTGGTAACCAGGATACTGTAGATCTCTACATTCTGTGGAGGCTTAGCATACTCCCACATACACAGAGTACCAGGAAAGAGGCAGAGAAAAAAATCACTGGCACAATCATCCCCACAGGGCCACGGACTTCCGTTACAGATAATCTGTCACACAGCATGCAGGACTGAATATGGAAATGTTTGGTTTCAGAAGCAAAATTCGCGATGGATTATAAACACCAGTAGACATCACCTTTACAATGGATATCTTCTTTAGTCGTGGGTCCATATAATTAACATGCTGAACCAAAATTACATACCTATTATTATTATTATTGCTATTAATTACTTTATAAATCTCAAAAACTAATGGATAGCGCCTTCCATTAACTGGTTAAGTTTTGCAATACGGTGCCGCCACTGTTTCACAAACTGAGGAGAGCATCCTTGAATTCTGCTGGCCCAGCATACAGCCAGACTGTTGACCTCTTTCAAATGTTTGACAGCTCAGCGACCCACATACACTTCATGTTAATGTTTCACCACAACAGCCGCAGTTCGAAGACGCACTTATAATCCGGCATATTACACTCTATTGTACATTTTCATGCAGTTACTTATTAACCCCTTTTGGCTATTTGAATTCATTTTGCGTAACATGTATATCAATCATCTTACCATATCTATCTTTAAATCCCTTATCTTGTCGCCAAGGTCCTTCTTGCGAGGATCTTTATCTTTACTCAATTTGCCATCTTCTAGGTGCAAAGCGGCGTCATCACGCATCCATTTCAGCAGCCCATCTGGCATTTTCCTCCCAATCTTGAGCTCCAAGTCTTTTAATTCCGGCAAAGTCTCAGAAATACTGCCTTCATCCATTGTATCCGATTTTTTTTCATCCGCAATTATCATCCACGTTACCTCTATAAACCTACTAGGTATTATTGCTCATAAACTGGACCAGTAACCACACATGTAATGACACTGTGTACGACAGGCTCTTTATAATAGATTTTTAAAAACAAGTCATTAATTCACCTTGCATATTTTGCATATGTATTTCTTACATAAAACAAATAAGCCAGCGACTTTTCCATCAGTTCATTCGCAATACCTGCTGCAAGCACAAATCTGTTTATTTTGACTACAAAAAGCGCACACGTGTCCATTGTGTAAGAAAATTGTCTGTACCATTCCCTTTATTCCGTTAGAAATAAGAGATTTAAACCTTGAACACCGTCTAACACTTTCCAGAGACGCGATCGATGCAAGCTACAGTAAACACTGCGGAGCCGACTGCGAACGAGCAACATATGATGTACAGCCCCGCAACAACAGGAAAATCCATTTTAATCCACTAAACAAGCATGTCCCTTTTTGTTTTATCCAGTTGTCGATCTCTTTAAAATATAATTCCTTTAGCTCCTCCAAAATTACTGTAAGGCAGCAGATGAAGTCGCGCCGTCTGAAGTGTTCACATGGATATTCCACCTGCGCGAAATCCACCTCCGCAAAAGCACGATGTTTCTGTAAATACGGTAATAAGATCCTTTACCGTAATACTTATGATATTTTCACGCATCTTAACAATCACAAATGTACACTTTGACCTTTAGAATCGACATTAAAAAACACACACACGCTCTAAGTTTTAGTATGTTTCATCAGTTAGTCTCTAATCATTTATCACTTTTGAATACATTTGGATACCTGATAAATAACAAAAGTTACTTTTTTGTTTATGCTTGTTTTGACTTTCAGAATAACATGTACATAAAAATAACAATGAACAATATTATATGCAATATATAATGCTTATTATGCAATATTAATATGTTTGGCACTCATACACTGGCATCCCATAATCAGTGCCCTCTCCTTGTGCTCACAAAAACTCTGCACTAAACAAGTAGCCATGAGGAAATGGATGGATGGAGATTAATTTATTTTCAGGTACATTTTGACATTTCAGATATATATGAGCATGGATGGATTCAATACACAGGTTTACCCAGGCTGATTGCCAGGGTCCTCCATGAAAAAGGGGCCTCAACTAATCTTGTTTACCCTGGTAAGCAACTTTTACCCCCCCCTCCCCCACATATGCTCCTGCATATATGAAATATATTCCGCACCATAATAATAATCCTAATCATAATTATCTGATAATGCATATTGTCTTGGAAAGCATAATGTGCATAAGTCACAGAGCAGTTCATTCGAAGCACACTTTCATGCAATAATTCTGAGTCAGAAAATGAACAGTGTGTCACTACCCTGTGTGACAAGGCCAATGCAAATATGAGAATGACATGCAAAACTGCAAAGAGTCTGACTCATCCCCGCAACCACAGAGGTCTCTCATAACTACACCTTCCTGTCCTACACATCTAATTAGTATTATTATGTTTTAAGTGTTGAGGTTGAATAAAGGAAATCAAGCCATTCGGGGTGATATACAGAAAGAACAATAGACTTTTGTGTCTTTGCATGCCATTGCAATACATCTGTGAAATGAGTACTTCATGCTTAACAAGACATAAGCCTTCCTATCCCTGATAGTTACTACTCATTAAAATGGCATTAAATATGTATTGCAAGGTTCTCGGATAAAATCCACATCCATGTTTTTGTATATTTTACATGCCCACAGACATGCACTTTATATTTTTTATTATTCTTTAAAATTTCTCCCTGTATTTAATACACCTGCTACCTAGAAATAATAAAAATTTAAATGGCATAAAAGATACACACACTACAGCTTAATGTTTGCCAATGGTTTAAAACCCTTGCTATTGCTAAAATTCTTTAGCTGCTTTTTATAATATTTCATTGTTCTTTAACCTAGTATTTATAAAGACTATCATGACAATTCCTATAAAAGGCCATCCTTTGTAGTGTTCAGTTTTCCTGGGTGGAAATGTCTCATCTTTTCATACAATGACTTAATGTTCACTGGGAATTATAGAAGCTTTCTCCTAATCGCTGTGATCCACACACTTGTGGTGCAACATGAAAATGCCAGTTGTGATGTGTTAAAATGAAACAGCCGTCAATATCCAATGGGAAAACTCCATTGTGCATATGAGTCTCCAATGCACGGCAGTGATAACGATCAATTTTAAAATGCGTTGCTCTCCATTTCAGTGCAATTTGCATATGATAATTTGTGAATCTATGAAGAGGACGGCTTTTAATTATATTCAATCACATATGCAACTTTAATGTTCTTAGTTTTTTTTTTCTTTTTTCGATTTCTGCCTTGTTGTAATAACATCACCAAAGAACTACTCGAAATCGGCCTATCTGTCATACTGAAATAATTCCGAAAAGCAAGAAAAAGACAAATTTGATAGGTTCATATTTTCCAGATGAGCTGACGGAAACTATTTTCCGAAAAGAAAAGAAACTTTACCTTCATTGACCAGAGATTATTAAATATCATTGATTCAGGACCTAAGGGGTACTACGTTTCCTCGCTGCTCTGTGCTGCTTATTAAAGGTTTAATTTATAGTAACATATGTTCTCATGTGAGGATGATCAATAATATAGAGGAGGGATAAAATATTCCTTCGATACCAAAAAGAGATTCAATGAAGCAGAAATTACGAGAATTAACAGGACAGAGACGTCCGGAAAAAATCAGAAAAAATCCATAAGTCTGACTCAGCTGCATTGGCGATACCCCTGCTACCCATTAGCCCAGTCACCTGACCCCACACAGCCAATCAGAATGAATAAATTATACATGACAGGGGTAGACCCTGGATGGGATGTTGGTCCTTAGTACACACACACACTATGGGCAATTTGGAGACATGGTTATCATGACTGCATGTCTTTGGACTGCAGGAAGAAGCCAGAGAGCCTGGTGGAGGTCTGCACAGCATGGGCTGAACATGAAAACAACATGCAGACTCCACACAAACAGAGCAGGGCTGGGTTTCAGACCCCTGACCCTGGAGGTGCGAGGTGAAAGTACTACCCACTGAGGTACCATGCCATTTCCTCCATCCATCCATTTTATGTGTCCACTTGTCTAATGCAGGGTCGCAGGAGATCCAGAGCCTATCCCAGAGGCTACGGGTACAAGGCAGGGAACAACCCAGTATGGGGTGCCAACCATTCAGTCACACATGAACACCTATGGGCCATTTGGTAAGTCCAACTAACCTCAGTATGTTTTTGGACTGTGGGGGGAAATCGGAGTATCTGGAGGAAACCCCACAATGACACAGGGAGAACATGCAAACTCCACACACAAGGAGCCATGGCGGAGACTTGAACCCAGGTCAATTCAATTCAATTTCATTTATTTTTATATAGCGCCTTTCACCCCAAGACGCTTTACATGGGTATGTTGTGACACATTGCAATGACATTAAGACAAAATAATAAAAAATAAAAAAACAGGGAAAAAGGACGACAAAGGAATTAAAGACAGAAAGCCAGGTTTCAACAGGGGAGAGGGACCAAAAATTCTCTGCAAAAAACTCCGAGGTCAATTGGTGCCCCCCCCCCATCCAGGACATGCTAACATTATTGAAAAATACTGGAAGCTACATGCACAAGGCAGGGAATAGCCAGTATGGGCCACCAAGGCAGCAGCTTGTCACCTCATAATCTCTCTAATTTCTAAAACTGCATTTCGTATTTATCATCACACTATTAATATGATTAATATGATATCCAGGTGGGCGGGGCGTACCCCTAACTTGGGAGCCCTAGAAATGACCCCCCTACAAAATCCTGTACTAGACAAGCAATTGGAAGTTGGTTAGATAATCTTCAGCTTTCCCAGTTACGTTAAATAAAACAGCTGTTATTTTCATTAATGTAATATTATGGCTTAATACCATAATCACATCATTTACAAAAACAAAACAATATTATTCCCATCATGCTCCATCCACATTGTGCAACAGTTATACAATAAGTATGGAAATCCTGCATAACTGTTAATTTAAATCTCTTTTTTAAACTGGTCTATGAAATTCATCTGCCCTCTAGTGGTAGTATTTGGGGTTTGCAATTCAAGGATGAATAGCCGCATTGAGTTAAAGGGAATTTATTTATACACTGAATAAAATGTGTATTTATGTAGCAAGGAAACACTGAAACATGTTATGTTTTAGATGTTTTGCTGTATAGCAAATAAACGAAAAAGGAAAATCCTCGCTTCTGTGCGTTACAAAACATTTAACACTATCAACTTCCAAGTCCCAGGGTAATGTGAAGAATTAACCTGTCTGGAGGGAAACTTCACCGCTTTATTTACTGCTACGTGTGCAAGAGCTTCTGTGCTACTAAGTGATTAAAAACTGTATAAAAATCTATCTGACTTCTCTCATTTGAGACACAGATACAGAGTGTAAAAAAAATGGGGCTAACCTCTTCTTAGCAACCTGGGTATTGTATTAAAACGTGTTTGAACGTGTCATAGGCAACACTGTTGTTTCACAGTGCTGGATTGGCCAACTGGAAAATGCACGGCGTCATGGAGGCAGGGTGTTTCAGTCATTTTTACTCTTTAAAAATGCACGATATGTGACAGGACCACAACAACTGTTGACACATTCTTGTCTGTTTCTGACATCAACAGCATGCAAATGAATTTTTCCACGCATAATGTCGTAATAAAATGAAGTGCTTCGGCGGGGAGGAAGGCATGCGACGGGTTTGACAGCTAGCTAGCTCTGGCCCCTCCCATTATGACTGGAGAGAACCTGAATTACCTGTTTAAAGGGCTGACAGACTGATCGGGGTTGACAGGACGCGTTACGACAGCAGCCATGGACGGAGGCAGCACGGAGGATGATATTGAAGCGCTGATTGAGGACATGGAGTACATTCCGGGACACTTCCACCTGGATCTACACCTGAACTGCGAACCATGTGGACCCGCTGACCTCAGATCCCGGGATGTTCGCCTCAAGCGGGAGAGCCTGAGGGCCGAGCTGGAGGCAGAGTCCGGGCCCCAGCAGTACGCCGTGCGGAACCTCCTGGGCTTGCTGGCCTTCCACCTGGATGAGCCGGAGAGCGCAGAGGAGACCTTCAGGAGCATCTGCGAGGAGGAGCCGGACAACCTCAACGCCTGGGCCAACCTGGGCCACGTCTACGACCAGCTGAAGAGGGAGGCGGAGGGGGCAGAATGTGTGGAGAAGGTGTCCGTGCTCATGGGTCTCGCGTCTGGGGAGGTGGCCAAGGGGCAATCCAGGCTGCTGGCGGCGTGTTGCCTGGCAGAGCAAGCCTACGTTCATCTGTATGATGTGGAGCTAGACAAGGAGGAGGACTTGAGGGAGAGGCTGACTGTCGCTCTCATGTTATACCACAGGGCCCTGGACTATGGAGGTCAGATGGTAAGAGAGCTGCCCAACATTATCTTATAACAATGACCGTAATCATGCAAAACATTTGCTGCTACACTTAAGTGTTCCTTCACCTCGAACAAATAGAGCATTGTGTTAACAAAGGTTGTGGGTTCAAATCCCACAGATGGGCACATAAATTGTAGCCCTTCCCTCTACTGTAAGTTACTCTGGATGCAAGTATCAAGTAAATGAAGTGTGACTCTTACTGTAAGCAAGTTATAGAAGGAGAAAAAAAGATGTGAGCTTGTTATCTAACACCCTCCACTGGGTGCTGTGCTTGACATAAAACAGGGCTGCACTTGTGCATTGCCAATCTGTAAGCAATTGCATGGGGTGAAAACACTCATTTCTTTTTAGATACCAATTGAAGAGAAGAGATGCTGGTATTTTAAAATGGCAACGTTGTACATAAGGTATCGCAGTCTTCTAAACAGCCTATTAATAATTGTCATGGAATTTACTATTTATTATTGCAATTTTAATCCAAACAGCCTAGAAATATACCCATTCATCTGGAAAGATATTTTACTTCAGCAATTATGTTTGGGCTCCCTTGCATAATGTTACCAAAGTTCAGTCCCTCCTATAACTGGTTGTGTCTTAAAACAATCATCCCACTTTGTTCCCTTAACTCTATAAACATTTGCACATTACCAAAAGCACACAGTGTTATACACATATTTAATGTAGACTCATATATATCATTGCTTTTATTTACTCTGCAGATTAGACAGCTTGGAAAAGGGCAATGAGGACTCCGAATTCACCAGAGTTTCTCATTTCAATAAAGCCCTAAAGCTGCTCACAGAAGTCATCAAGTCTGAGAAAACACATAACAAAGGTAGAGTTGTGTGTATATACCACTGAAAGGGAATGCAGGGGCATTCCAGAGCAGAGGGCCCCACAAGCCTCGCCCAACTACTCAACCTCACATTTTACTGGTGTTTGTTTAGCTGTGTGTTATATGGGAGCAACTGCACCTAGAACTCACAGTTCTGTGCTGTCTTGTGATGCAGACCCTCAAATTAATATTGTGCGCCCTCTGGTGGAAGCCAATCAGTCCATGACTGTTGGGGTGGGGGGGGAGGGAGGTGCTGTTACGGACACAGCACTGCTAGCCTGACTTTTTTTAATTTTTTGCTTTTATGATAAATGTATAACAATGGTTCGCGTTCGCAGAACGTGAAGGAGCCAGTCAGATTTGTTCCTAACAAAACAGGCAGTTGCCGAAAAGTTTCGGTTCCTACCTTCATTTTATATCGTTATATAACTCTCTGCGTTTCTCCTTCTGCAGCTCTGGCCTGGTGCTACGTGGGAGTCATGCTGGAAAGGAAAGACGAGTTTGCCATAATCCCCATGTCGGTCCACGACTGTGGCTACTCTGGATCTGATCCGCTTTGCTGTTATGGAACAGTACGTGTATAAAAGCTTCTGCAATTTGTTTAGAGGGAACCTGTACTACTATCAGTTAACCCTTTGTGGAGGCAGACATTTCAGGTCCTCAAACTAAAGATCCAAACCAAGATTTTGTTTCAACCATCAAGTTGAGTAGAAAGAGTCACAGTCACAGAGTACTGAATTGGTTTGTTGAAACAAAATCTTGGTCTGGATTTTGACTTTCTGGACCTGAAATGTCCCACCTTTGACCCTTTGAATGGGTAAATCATCCATATTTCACACCAAAGTTCCTCACACTCAGACATGTGGCATTTGCCTGTTCCTACACCCAATATCCACTCCACTGTGGGCCAGTGCACCTCCAAAGTGCTAAAGGTGGGTATGATTCTCCTTTCAGGCCATCAAGACCGCCAAGGATGATGCGTTCACCTTGAACCGCCTCGCCAGTGTGTTTTATCTTCTGGGCAAGTACGACATGGCCATGGGTATCTGTAACATGGCTCTAAATGTCCTGCCTGATGCAGAGCTCAACTGGCAAGCCTACTGCATGCGTGCCAAGGTATCCATCAAGGATTCCAGCTTCTTTACATTTAATATAATGTAAAACATAGTCACTCAAACCCAGAAATAATAATCAACTATTCTCTATACTTTTGTAATAAAATAAGAATGCAAAATCCCTCAGGTTTGTTGACGTTTTAAATGGCCAATGACAAAACTGTGTCTATTTTAAGAGCGGACATTCAGTGCGTTATTTACATGGCATTTGTTTGTGCTGTATACCACCTAAGATGCCTGTGATATGTGCAGATAAATGTTACAGCCTACAAGAGGGATCTGGAAAAAGCCAAATCGGCTATGGCAGGTATTCCAGACCGAAGGACCCTGGATGAGGCCAAGGCTGACTTGGAGCGCGTGCTGAGTGTGCGCCCATGTTTGAAGACACATCTGGATATGGGGCAGGTGGGTCTGAGCTGACTTCATATAGCTCCGCCCAGTACCGTCATCCACCTCACACATGGGGATACTGGGAACTGATTTTGAAAAATTGATAAAAATTCATGAATGCTCTTGCCGTGCAGCTGGAGGCACACACACAAGAATTTTCAAATCAGACTCCGGAAGAGTCATTTTGCTACAAGAAAAGCTGAGAAGCTGAGATATCCATGTTATTGCAGCCTGTAGAATATCTGTAGTACAGATGGATAGATGGGGGGGGGTAGTTCATTTGTTAGTTGGTTAGCAAGTTGTACCTCTACCTGCTGATGAGCCTTTCTCTGCAACTCCTGGTGTATTACTGCATGGCTGTGGATACCGGGTAATCAGTCCGTTAATTAGTTTGTAGCTGGTTGGTTAGTTGTTCCTCTGCCCATTGACACACCTTTCTTTTGCTGCTTCTCCAGAACTCCAGGTATATTACTACATGGGTGTGTATGCCAGAGAGTTAGTTAATTTATTAGTTAGATGGTTGGTTATTTAGTTATTCCTTTGTCCACTGATGGGCCTTACTATTGCCAGTTCCCTGCAACTCCAGTGGCCTGTACCACGAAGCGGGGTTACTGGCTTATTATCGGGGTAACTTGTCGGATTTAAGGTAGCACAAATGGACTTCATATTTGTTCACTTACATTTTGCCCAGACTACCTTAAATCCGACAAGTCACCCCGATAAGCCAGTAACCCCGCTTCGTAGTACAGGCCCCAGGTGTCCTACTTCATGGTTGGGGATGCCAGGTAATTAGCCTGTTTGATTGTTCAGCAGGTTAGTCAGTCGGTTAATTAGCTGGTCAGCCAGTTGTTCCTCTGCCCACTGACAAGCCTCTCGTGTCCCATTTGCCCATGACTGCAGGTGTATTACTACATGGGTGTGGATGCCCTGCAGGAGAGCCTGCTGGTGGATGAGCAGGCGCTGAACGCGGCGCTGGTCAGCCTGGCTCAGGCGCTGCAGTGTGAGCTGGGTGACAGTCTTCCGGAGGTGCAGATGCTGCGGGGACGCTGCCTCCTGCTGAAGGGAGAGGAGCAGAACGCCGCCGAGTGCTTCAAGAGGGCCCTGGAGCTGCAGCCGCCGGGCAGCCGGGACACGGCGGCCCTGCGCTGCCTGCTGGAGACCATGCTGGCCCTCTTCTGCCGGCAAGGGCCCGACCCGAGGTCCCTCATCGACCAGCTGGAGGCGTGGCTGAGGCGGGCCGAGGAGAGGCACCCGGCGGACGCCGTGCAGGCAGAGCTCAGGACCTTCTGCAGAGCCCATACGGACGAGGTGGCTCAGCTGTCCCGGGCGCTGATCCGGGCCGGGCGGCTGGGGCTGGTGCGACGTCTGCTGGAGACGGTGCAGCCGGGCCGGCCAGCTGCAAGGAGGCCTTTCCTCAGGTCCATGACCGTGTGAGAGGGAAGCGAGAAAGCCAGGGGCAGGAAGTGTGAACGGGGGAGTTATTTCACCAGGGACACAGGGCTGCTGTAAGGGGGAGGGGGGGTAGCGAAGGGACCCCTTAATGACAGGGACCTAACAAATTTGCAACATAATGGGACGGGTCTGGGTTGAGGCCCAAACTCCCCAGCAACACCCCTTCCGGGATGTTCCTTTCACAACGGTACCAATTTCACTGGCTGTACATGGAGAAGCAGATCTCCTTGTTTCTACCCAGTATGTATTTACTAATATTTAATTCAGCACAAACATTAACAGAATCTGTCAGAGAATTAAATGTATTACTCCTAAACAATATAACAGAGCTTACAAAATAAATAAAAATGTTATTTATTCATTGGGCATTTTCTCTTAGTAATAATTCTTGTAACTTACGCCACAGAAACAGGACCACACTGCTGAGCGCATGAATGATTGATAAATAATGAAATAATAGAATTAAACATGGAGAACCTGCAGTCCCAGATGGTTTTTGCTTGGATCGGGCGTTTTACATTGTTCATTGTTTTATTAGGGCAGATCTTAGGCTGCCTGCACGTGTTATGCAGAGGTGGAAAGTTCAGGTTCATAAAGTACACATCCAGACCAATGTTTTGTTTCAACCAACCAGCTGAGCATAAAGAGTCACATTCACACTGAATTCAGTACGAACTGGTTGGTTGAAAGAAAATCTTGGACTGGATTTGTGCTTTCTGGACCTGAATTTTCCACCTGTGTTGTTATGTGGATGTTTGCCAATAGTACAGGTAGTACAGGTTTATACAAATAATGTGGTATGCAGCAACGCAGAGTCAAAGCAGACAGACTGGTTTGAGCGGCAATCTGTAAATCATTATGGAAGTATGTGTATTGCAGCGTAAAAATGAATAACGTCCCTGTTATAAAGCTTTGGAAGAATTACCATCACAACTGCTGTAAGGCTCATCGGAAGAATTACTCGTACGATAACATTAGGCAGTGTCGAAAACGTAGTAAGTATGTTATGCTTCGATTAATCAGTGTTTATTACAGTTCAAACTGGCCTTAAATTTAATTCATTGTACAAGTATATTAGTTCATCTGAAACTCAAGGAAAGCACGTATGCAGAAATAGGGCTATTCACACAACTAGGAGATGAGGCGGAGACACCGGCCGGGTGAATATGCGCACCATATTGTCACGCTACACACAGAATTTGTTCTGAAATTATTTTGGCAATTACTGTATTAAAACTGCGAACATATCACATATTGGGAACAGTTGTAAAACAAATGCAATGCGCTAATTTGCACAATATAAAATAAAGATGTAAGATTAATTAAACATCATAAATGAACTTCGGTATACTATAATACTACTGATTATGACCGCATATTTGTAGCAATAAATATCCCTATAGCCGTACCTACTGTTTTTCTTAGCCCGGTAGCACTTTACCCAACGGGGTACAAATAATACAGTATTGTTTTATTACTTATGTACTAAATAACCACAAACTAAGTCTTAGTTACATACTGATCTCATGTTAATTCATCATCAGTGAATAATGATGCATGTTTTATCACAATCAGTTACTATATCTGTTAAATCTGTAAACCTTTGTGAACTACTGAAGGAACAATTAAGCAACGAATAACAAAAGTGAAATACCGATCTGACGTTTTCTTCGTTAATGGACCAGGACGCATCTTTTCTCTCAAGCAACAACTATTTGTTCATGATTTGGACTTCGTTAGTAACTGAGTTACTGCGAAGTGTTTCTGCCACGTAAAATGTGCCTGTTTGGCAGCTAGGGTTTACAGACTGTCCTCGTCTTATCAACTAAGTTCTCTGTCCAGTGCTGGTGTACTTTACTGGGAAACCAAAATGTTATCAGGGCGCCGATTACGATTGATTGTAAGCAGTATCGGTCGTACCCATCAAAAACCGTAATGCTTTCCGTGTTGAACTTCTGCTTGTGAATACACGCAACGCCCGCGTCAGTAAATCTAATCACTTGTTTCGAACGGTACACAATCAATACGTGTGCCACTATAAACCTAGCTTAAATTAATTATCATCTACAGTTTAATGACGTTTCAATTACTCGCAACCACTGGGAAATTATTAGGCATTAAAATAACGTCTTTCCTTATGTCACAGCAAACATTTTGGAAGCACGAAGGCACCGCTTTTAACTTTAGCCACCACTAGATGGCAGTATAATATTATAAAAGTATACGACCTAAATTAAAATACGCGCTTAGCGCAGAGTACAACAAGCAGAGGTGAATGCAACATTTAATCCATACAAATGAAGATAATTGTAGAATGTACATTATTGTAGCAAGCTTTTTATCATTTAAACCAGTTTTTATAAACTTTTACTGTAAATTGTGGACTGTAATAGCCATAAATTATCACTTATGATTTACATAAATCTTACACTACATACAATGAGAAGGATGATGTCACACAGCGGCAAGTACTGTAGTGATGTTTGACATTTATGATTTATGTTCATTAGCATGGTAAACAGGGGTGTTGAGTTGCGCATGCAGACGGCTAACTGGTAGCCTCTACCTCCAGGAAACAGAGTTTGTGAGCCGTTTCAGATAAAGCTTCATTTCAGTCTGTGAACTTTCTTCCCTGACAAAAAACTCTTGCAGAACGCAGAATCTCTGACGAGGACGATGAAACTGGGCGTGCCTTCCTTCACTAAACACCTGAAAGAGCGAACCGGTTGCAGACCATCAAATTTGCACAGCAGATGCAATTTGGTTAATCATTTAATGCTTCTGGTTACCTGTCGTTCTGCAGAACCCTGAGGAGGGACATCTCATTTTCCAGCTGAAGAAGCTGTCCTCTTTCATCATCAAAGTAAAGCTAGACAGCAGCAGAAACAGCTCACATGTGAACTGAATAGCTTAATGTCAAAATAAGTACATGAATGAGATGCTGGTTTGCCAGTATTCTTACGTGATCCTATAAATAACATCTCACCTCTAGGTTTCGGGGTTGGTACTTCTTTTCTGTGTCCCAGGGGGGAAGTTCTTCCCCAAACATGACTGTTAGATGATCAATAAACCTGAAATTAAACAACCCAGTTAGTTTTTCCATTAGACAATTTTCAAATAAACTGGCCAAGAGAATTTTTTCTGATGCATTTTGAAATGAAGAACACATACTCCTCACTTAACGACTTACGACCAGCTATCCAACCAGTCAGCATTGTTCACTGTACAAGAACTTTGGTCGTGTAAACAGCAGCGCAGCTTCTCAGCCTCAAGCATCTCATCTCACATTATTTATAAATATACAAAATGATATAAATGCTGCAAAGGTGATATTAAAACAAGTATACTTGAAATATCGATAAATGGCGGCTCCTAGTTTATCAACCAATTCACTTAACGACCTAGTCGTAAGAATGGACCTCGGTCGTTAAGTGAGGAGTGTCTGTACCAAACATTTGTGCTGGAAGGAATTATTGGTGGGAAGAGTTTTGGACCATGAGTTTCATAGATGGTCTAACGCAAAAACAAGATTTCTTTGAGCAAATGAAGTGTGACTTTAAGAAGGCTTTGCACTTTTGATCATAACTGAGCAGACCTGTCATTCTCGTTGAAGGAGGAGATGAAGTCCGTCTGCCCATGCTCTGGGTACAGGAAGAGGACAGGCCAGTGAAGGACACCTTGCTCATCCAGGTGCACTTTGAATCCAGTGGCTTCTTGGGAGCAGAGATCATTGAGGTCCAGTTCTGCCAAAGCTCGTGTAGAACCTACATCCTCTTCCTCACTGTCGGAACAGTGCTTTGAGGGCTTATCTGGCTTTAACAGTTTAATCCCACGCTCCTAGGAAACAATTATCACAGTTTTCAATATTTATTTCTGAAGCCACTGTTTTGTTTAACCATTGTATTTATTTCAGGCTGGAGATGCTTAAACTCTGTTGAGACACATTACAAGCAACTGTCACAAAGGTGCAGAAATAGTTCAGTAAATGTCAGTCGTACCCTGATGGCCCCAAGAAGAGCTTCTCTTTCCACACGTTCCTTTTTCTCTTTCACCTTAGACTTTCGGGCATCTCTCTCCGCCGTCCTCTAAGAGAAAATCATCCCAACAGCCTTTTTACTTGCCACTGTCACAAAGCGACAGGGTACGGCCTTCTGATTTAAAGATGTGAGCTTCTGACATATTTTCTCCTGCAAGGACCCCGGCTTTCTGGAGCGTCCACCCCACAGGTTTGCGATTCCCATCCGGCCGGCCCGGAGATGCACTACCTTGAGCTTGTCCGCCGTCGCCCGTAGCTCCTGCAGCGTGACGTCCTTCGCATGGACTCCGAGGCCCTCGTCACACCACTGCAGGGCCTCGCTGAAATTCCCCAGCTTCACGCAGCACTGGGCACCTGCAGGGATGCGTACGAAAGATGAGGATACAATGGACCTGGTGTTTAGAAAGGAGGCCATAACTCCACTCAGCTTTAAAAACCCATTCACACATTCACAATAAACTAAAATAAAGAATCTTAATTGAATAACTGAATCACATTTTTCACAGAATGTGTTTATTTAATTCAAGGATTCAAAAGCTTATTTGCTCAGGTACAGATGTACAAGGCATTGGAATTCTTATATGGATCTCTCAGTCCATGCACAATATAGCAAAAGCACAAAGTAGCATAGCAAATATACATAAATACATGATAATAAATATAACTAAATGTAAGTAAACATTCTGCCAAATCTACTGTTCAACTGTACTGTCGAACCATCTACTGTTCAAAATGCCAGGATGATTGATACCCACATATACAACGTGTCCGTGTGTGTGTGTGTGTGTGTGGGGTGGGGTTACGTATATATTTCAAATGTCCCCACAATGTGATAAAAACCTGCTATTTTGATGTTGTGGGGACCATTTTCTCAGTCCCCACAAGGGGAAACAAAATTTCATAAAAATCTGTGACTGCATTTAAAAAATTAAAATTGCCAAAAGTCTAGTATTTTGTTTGGTTATTTATGGTCAAGGTTAAGGCTGGGTAGGGGTTAAGGTCGTCATTTTGGCTTTAGAGTTTTTTTCCATAGAAATGAATGGATGGTTCCCACCAAGATATGAATACAAACTTGTGTGTGTGTGTGTGTGTGTGTGTGTGTGAACAGCCTTCGTACGACTCTAAAACATGCAAATACAAACCTCTTATCAAGGCTTTAACGTGATCTGGTTTCAGCTTCTTAGCTGCTAAAGAATCATTTAAAGCAGAACGCATGTTACCTGAAAAAAATGCATCATACAAAGGTCAGAGGTCAGCAGTATGTGCCCACAGGTTCTCATTACCATCAAACCCTCTCTCGGGTCACAACGAGCAAGTAGAGGGAGACAAGTGGGCCGAAAGATACCCACTGAGCCACCGCGCTTATTCACCAAAGTACGGAGAATCAGCTACAGAACGATCCAGACGAGAGCGAATGGAATCATGGTACTGTACCCAGATGGAAATGGGCAGCTGCCCGGTTGGTATAGAGGACAGCACAGAGGTCAGTGTCAGTGCACTTCTTCTTCAGAGCCTCGCTGTAGGACACTATAGCCTTCTTGTAATTCTTCTCCTTGAAATATTCATTCCCCTCATCCTTGAGTGCCTTTGCTTGTTCTGAGGAGAAGAGTGAATTACGTTAATAAGACAGACCACAGAAAACCCAAGAGCATTTAGCCGTCCTTACTGAGGGAACTATAGGTACAAGCTGAACACATGTGATTAATTAAAAACAAGGCAAGTCAGATTATTTGCTAGTGTTTCTTTCTATTGTATATATACATGCGTGTAGTGTTGCAGCAAAAAAGCTTTGATTTACCCTCAGGTGGTCTGTCATCATCGTGGATGATGGACTGCAAGCAAGCTAAATCTGGGTGCTCCTTGGGGTCAATTTCCTTTGGGGCTGTCTTCATGAACATGGGCACCTTCTCAAACTCCTGGAGCGACAAATTTTATATAATTAAAATAAAGTCGCATACATTTCAAATAAGACACTGGTCTGCTGTAGCAAAGTCGGAGAATCTAATGCATGAATATATGCAATACGTACGGTTTAGTACCTCGGAAAGTCACCATTCTGTGATTTTCATATACAGTTAATAGGGATAATAGTATGATGAACAAAAACAAGCGAACAAAAAAATATTACAGAGAAGGATAATCTCACCTCCTCCCAGTTGTCCACGTTAAAAGCACCTTTGTATTTCTCTTTTCTAAATTTCTCCATAAACTCGTCCATCGCGTCATCGCTGTCACTGTCTTGCGCTCGAGACATCGCTGTCAATTTTTCCTGTTTATTAAGAAAAATATCTACAAACAGGTAAAGTACTAACGTCAGTTAAATAACTCGAAAGTCCCTGAAATTAAATGCTAACATGCAACAACGGACCGCTACCACTCCGAATACTGTGTGAATGTTAGAAACACGCCCACGCCCGAGGTCGCCTGAACCACCAACCAGATCGAGTTTTCATTGGTTCGCTATATTGATATCTTTGTTACCATTGGTTTAAATGCGGTGGAGGCGGAATAGAGGAGACATTAGACTAATAAAATGCATCGGCGTTTCTGGGTAGTCCAATCAAATCGCAGATTTATTTGGTTCGGACGCATAGGTTCGGACTTCCACATAGGCCGAAAAACGTGTTTCGATGGTGTGCCAGTAAAATACACCCGATGGGAAATCATACACCAAATTCTCAAGTCCTCATTTTCATTTCCTAGTCGCCTTATATTTTTGGAACGCAAAGCACAGTAACCCCTGTATATGTCTATTGCATTTTGATATAACGCATTTTGACAGAACCTCAAAGTTATATTAAACAAGGAGGATCTTTAAAGGGCCGTTTAACACTCTATGAATGTATGCATTCTATTTACCGTTTGACTAATTCATGAATTAACCATTAATTCCAGTAAACAATAACTAATCCAAATTTGTTTTAGAACTGTAAACTTCCCTAATTGTACTACATAATTTTTTCAACGTTTTCAAAATGGCTATTTTTTTTTATTGTAATGGATTTCATTCAAAGCCAACAAACATAAAGGGCAAAATGGAAATCCAGTGCCCACTAATCAGTCCTGTGTTACATTTTCAGCGTTTGAAACACATTTTCGATATGATATTAGGCTGCAAAGAAAGTGACTTGATCACTAAGAAAATGATCCACTGGGTGTAGAGGTCTCCCTGCTACAGTACATGACTTTCCTCACATAGCACAAAGATACACAGTTGGGTTAAATTGCATCTCTAAATTGCCCACATTGTGATTGTGTATAGGGGTGAGGGTGTGTGTATATACACTGCAATGGAATGGAATCCAGTACTAGGTGTATCTCAGACTTGTACCTTGTGCTGACCAGGATAAGTGGATTGATGGATGGATGGATGGATAGATAGATGGATGGATGGATGGATGGATATCATTATAGACAATAAGATGCAATTTGCTAATGTTCACAACTACTTTTATAATAGCATTAACTTGACAGCTGTTCTGCTTTATCAAAAGAAACCCAAACACAAAGAAAAGTTTTAAAGTATTTATTTTCTCCCTCTATAAAAACCAAAGAGGCACAGTAGTATCACAGTAATGTTCGTAAAAATTCAGACAGTCTCTACCCGTCCCAGAAGGTCCATCAAGCCTTCCTTACTGAGGAACATGGTGTCTCCAGTGTGCTGGCAGAGGACCTCAAACTTTGGCTGCTCCTCCTTGGCACTCTGCCCGACCACAACCACGTAGGGGTACCCAAGCCGTTGGGCGTCCTTCAGACGCTTCCCAATGGTCAGCTGTGTCCGGTCATCCAAAACCACCTCCCCTTTCAGACTTTTCAGCGAGGCCCCCAGATCATCGCATAACTCCTCAGCCAGGGCACCCAAATCCTCGGTTTTGCTGCCTTTCTTGGGAGGTAAGACACAGACCTGGAAGGGGGCCAACAGCCCCGGCCACCGAATAGCATCGTCAGAAGACAGTACCTCAATGGCCGCTGCCAGGATACGCGTGACCCCCAACCCAAAACAACCCATCTCAGCAACCACAGGCTTGTTCTGTGCATTGTAGTAGGTGGCGTTGAACACGTGGGAATACTTGGTCCCAAGGTAAAAGGTGTGTCCCACTTCGATGCCTTTTGACTCCGTTAGGGTAGCACTCTGGCATCGGGGGCAATCGGCACGCCCAGGCTCTATGGTTTCAAGGTTTGCCGAGAAGTTGCAGTTTCCACAGATCACCAGCCTGTCCTCACCTATATCTGCTGGCAACTGGAACTCGTGTGAGAGTTTCCCGCCTATGTTCCCTGTGTCAGCCTGCACCATGACATAGGGCAGCCCCAGGCGGCGAAAGAGCCGGTCATACGCCTGACACACCGCTTTGTACGTCTGATGAGCAGCTTCTTCACTTGTATCGAAGGAATACATGTCCTTCATGTAAAACTCCCGACCTCTCAAAAGCCCAAATCTGGGCTTGGGTTCATCTCGAAATTTTCTTGTCACCTACAAAAGTAAATATCACTAATTAAATATGACTAAACACGGATATTAAATAAGACATTAATATTCCAAACCACATCAGATTTCTCTTGGAAAAACAGTTCAAGACCTTGTTTCAGAAACACCTATACCAGTCTACACCACTCCATGTTTCCTGAATGTTCTTAGTATTGCACCTTCTTGATTTTAATAGTTGTCTTACTAATTCTTGATATGTTTGAATAGTGATTCTGTTGTATCTGAGCATTCAGTGGAAGGTTAGCTTAGCTGCCCTTATGTCTAGTTGACTTCTTGACAGCTGCATGGTTGTAATGTGCTATTTTCCTCGCTTTAGACAAAAGGGTCTGCTAAATATGTAACTCTAATAATTATCATATAGTAATTATTTTATAATTATAATCATTATTAATATAATCAAATACACTGATATCACAGTACACCTGAGAGTTTTTCCTTACAGCCAGTGCATATTCAGTATAGCAGCTATGAGTACCTGGTATAGTAGAAGAGGCAGCTGTCTGTAGGATAAGGTGCCCTGGGAGGCCACCAGCTCGGTGACCGCCTCCTCATGTGTGGGCCCCAAGCAGAACTGTGCCCCATGACGGTCCTGCAGACGGAAGAGCTCCTTGCCCATCAGGTCCCACCTCTCGCTGCGCTGCCACAGCTCCGCCGCACAAAGGCTGGGCATGTCCAGCTTCTGCCCACCAATGGCATGCATCTCGTCATCTATGAGCCTCACCAGCTTCTCTAGAGCACGCACGGCGGCTGGGAGATAATAGAAGCAGCCAGGATTCGAGGGCTGGATGAGGCCACCTTGCAGCATCAGCTTCTGGCTCCTGCATGTCATCTCCCCTGGCCGACATTCCAGCCCCAAGTCCTTGCCCTCGCGAAGATTGGAGGGCTGGAAGAGGCGTGACACCAGAAGCCGAGAGCGGTGATTGGAGTGGACAGTGTCTGGTATTACGGCTGTACTGGCAGAGCCGGACTGGCATCTTCTGGGCTGGGTATGAACCCTGGGGAGGAAGACCAGCAGTTTCGGCCAAGAGGATCTCAGCATCACTTCTATATACCTGTATAAAACACACTTCAGAGGAAAAAAAACACAGGCACCGTCATGACGATAAACATACAGGCAAACTCTAATTAAATACACCCAAGGTAAATACTGGGGAATCTGTTTCCCCTCCAGAATCATTCACGTACACTGCACAAGAACCATTTTTGCAGTAAAACTTTATAACTAAACTTGCTATTGTTTACATTTATAATGGTACATTTATAATGGCACAGAAGGGAAAAAGACAACACGTAAATGTTGTTAAATCAATCCGCTTCAAGGTCAACATGCTAACTGCAGTAGCGTTTTTTCTGTAGAATATTCCCGTGTAACCCCAGGTAAAGCTTGGAAATATCCGCGCCGATCTCACAATTACACTGAAAATTTCGTATTAAAACAAAAGACAGAGAGCTTGCTCGCTTCCGCATGGTTTCAAGCAAGGACAGCGGCATTGGGAGTCACTCACCTTATCAGCCGGTCTGAACTGACACAAATTGGCAATTACAGCATGAAGTTTAGACCCGCAAATAAAACCCCAAATTTCATTATTTCGGCACGATTAATAAATACACTGCTGGAAACAAAACTACCTATAACTTGCAGTACTTGCTCCACCATCGAGTGTTATGAAAAAAGTACAACTAACGGGATACCAGAAGGGACATACAGAACGGGCAAAAAAAAAAAAACGCATTTCACGATTCTGGGTAGTGATCTGCCTGAATTGATCTGCAAACGCGCAAAACTATGTTGGATGTACATTTCAAAATACCACGTTTAATTATGTACGTTCTAATATACCATGTTCCGTGGTAAAAATTGCATTTTCATAAATTAGAGTTGGCCATGGTGTTGACCCCTGGTTTGTAGTGATAATTTAAAATGCTAATAGCGTATTTGTATACAAATACTCGTGTAAAAAGTATATTTTCAAGTCCACATTTTTATATTAACACACTTAATGAAAATTCACTGACAATGTAATTAATTCAAAGAAAGCTCCACATTTTCCACAGCCATTGGTAGACAGGCGGTTTCCAGAAAATCGGGTTCTTTTATTTGATACAAAAGTCAAAGCAAAAACGTAATACATGAAAAAAAATCATCCACCTATGACACACGACCAAAAACCCAAAACAGGGTTGAAGAACACAGATAATACAAACACACAAAAATACAAACTTAACGTAACATTCCATAACCTTTCATTCAAAATTCTACAGTATTTTCAAGGAGCTGCTGTGGACGTTTAGAATGATGAATGAGAGAATTGCTTATTATTGGCTATGTACATTCAGACAAAGAATTCTGCAGTAAATTTTAAAAACAGACATTCAAATTTCTGTGCTACCAAATGCCATACTTTGTATTTAATGTACGTTTATTGTGCATATTTAATGTCATATATTTAATTGTAAATCAAACATTGTTTTTCATTGTTTCATAAAGTGTTAAATATCTGACATAACACTGCACAGAACACTAAGCTGACACTGAGCACTGACCTGTGCGATTTATCCTGCCCTCATATTGCAGCTAGCTATGTGGTCAACAGAAATGTCTTTTCATTACTAGAGTCCATGTAAGAAAGGGGAAAAAAATTAAACACTCTATAATTATATGATTTTACATAGATTCACACATACACAAATGTACAGAAAAGTTGTTGAAACAGATTTTGTGAAACTGAGTACATTGCATTCCTTAAATGGGGACAGCTATTCATCTTTAAATTTTTTATTTTTTTTTTTTTAAATTCAAAATGCAGAGTACAACATAAATAACATTAAAATAGCCATATTTCAGCTGCAACCCCTATAAACATGATATACTTACATAAAACTTACATCTAAGAATACCCTGTGAAATGTAACACATCATTATACGCTTCATTAGCTTAGTGCGGATTTAATATTAGAAAGGCCTGTTTGCAGAAGTCTTATCCTTTGAATGAATCTGCACACCAAATTACACATATATTCAGGGTATTACAAAGCACAACCAGACTTGTGAACATAAGTATATTATTTCCCATGAGAAGTTGACAGCTCTTTCTTCATAGAGTTTAACTGATAAGAATAAGATCTAACACAGTCTTTTCAAAGTGACTTTAAGCTTGTGACTTTTTGATGTAATTAGATGAACTACTACAGCTGAAAATTACACTAAACATACAGCGAGTAGTATTTACAGCAAATACACAGGACACTGTGTAGATCTAATCTGATTTTTCAATACTTCATTTCTCACTTAAAAATTCACTTAAAAGTGATCCTGAGAATTTTAGTTGATACAATATATAACAGCCACTCGAGAAATATTCTTTCAGTTATGCAACATAGAGCTTTTAGCTTTGGCAAGTTTTTATTTTACAAAATGTGTGCATAAAAATAAATTCAACTTCATTCATCTTTTTTACAGTACTGATAGTTAATGCATTTTTACCTAATAATACAAAGATGCCTTTTCTATTACCATTAGTTTGCCCCCTGTTTTGGCAACCAGTGTTTTTCAATTAGCAGCCATATCTAGGACAACTGAAGCTCAACAATATTGACTTATTCTCTGGGTGCCACAAATGGACAGTTAGTCCTAGGTTGAGAATCTCTACGTAAACACAACCAAAAAAACCTGACCTCCCACATTTACTGCAAGAACCACTCACTGCAAAAAAACTGGTGGAAGATGCCAGCTAACATAAGGTACCAGAACCTCCTTCATGTATAAGCATGTAGGAATAAACTACCATCACAATTAGAGGAGTGACTGAACTTTGCGCTCTTCGACTACCAAAGAATCTAGTGGATGTTTGGACATCAGATTCCCAAACCACAATGAAATTGCAGGTATATATCAGGAAGTCAGACTACAACCAATTTAACGGTCCCTTGCAGTGTTATCATGTTTCAGACATCCTGTACAAAACTCAAAACAGAAAGTATACAGTAAAAGATACATTCAATTCTACATGTACTTCCAAATGACATATATGCTCTAGTAATTTTAAAAGTTCTGCACCTTTAACATGGATTAAATATCTATTTTTTCTAGATATACTGCAGTAAAGACAATTTCTGGAACCTAAAACAGCCATTAATCAGATTACCAAATCAACCAAAACAATATTAATAAAGAAAAAAAATCACTATTACATATCAAATGATTTCAAAACTTTTATTACAGAAAATATCAGCATCAGTAACACCTGATTACTGATTAGACAATATTCTGGAATTTCTGTTGAAGGAGATCATAGACCAGGATGAAATTGGGAGGGGTGACAAAGGGGGCAATCAGTCTCAAGCTACAGCGTGGAAAGCTTCTCTGCCAGATAATATAAACTATATCCATTACATACAATACAACAGAGGTTGCAGAGAGAGGAGAGGATCTGATAGAGCCAAAGTCGGCTGGTCAGCTTCTTGTACTTGGGATCGGACTCACACAGATTGGCATAGGCCTCGCGGTTGGAGGACAGCCCGATGTCCTGACCGAGCCCACAAGCCTGCTCGATGAGGTGCATGTCTGCCATCATTTCGGAAGTCATCTGGCCAAACCACTGCGAATTGATTGCAGCTACCGTCACACAGACAAAGAAAATGATGAGCTGCAATGTGAAGGAGAGGAAATGAGATCCATCCATTAAAAAGAGAGTCTGACTGCATGTAGACTGTACAGGATCTTTTGACAAAGCATGTGATTAAAGCTCACTCCTCCTAAAAGTACTTTTCACTAATTCTATAGAGAGTCCCAGTTTTCTTTTCAGTTAATTGTTGACCATTTTCAGTTAATTGTTGACCCAAACAAACCATATTTTACATATACTCCAGCCAACCGTACCTGGAAGGTGTCCTTTTCATTCAGCAGCTCATAGGGGTGGTACATGGAAAATATGGTGAGGTTGAAAAACGCACAGGCAGAGCCAATATGGAGGTAAAATGGAAACAGTCGGCTCTGGATGAAGCCGTATGTGTGTCTGTTCAAACTGTTGCCCATCACAAAGCCTAAACAGAGAGATGAAGCGGCTCAAACGACAAACAGGAACAGGCCAGCAAACGTCTGCTCAGATCGATGTAGGCCTATCCATAAAAGCATGAACTCTGAAGCGGATCTAGAAAATGTGCATTTGGAAAAGAAGCCACGGAGAAATCATGCACAGTACTGCGCTTGGTTTCAAGGGAACTTTAATAAAGTTCACAAAACAAACATGACTAATTAATCAAGAAATGTAAGAATAAAATATAGCTGGTATGCTTACCGGAAATAAAGGTCACCCAAATCTGCATGCCCCAGAAAGTAGAGAGAAAGAGGAGGTGCAGTAATTTGGCAGTTATTGAAGGCTCTCTATCAGTGGGCATGATTGCCTACTGCTGACATCGGGATACTTCACAGTCCCTCTCAGCACCTGCTCTGGCAGTGACGGTGTTGCACTGTAATAACACGTAACGCCCTTTTTTTGATTAACAAAAGGGTTGTAAATATAAAGTATACTAAAGCACTGGATCACGCAAACACAAGCGGAGTAACGCCAATGAAAACACAGGGATGCCAACTCCCATGCATCTGGCGTGACACGATTTCAGACTCACGCTCATACAAGAAATCTTACGGCAAATCTATATTATTCCATTATAGACCTAAAATTTGCTACATCAATAGCTTTGGGGTAATTCGAAAACCATACAGACTATGTCCAAGCTAAGAAAACTCTTGCATATATATGTATTTGTGTATTTATATGCAGACTTGAAAATCTCACGTCAGCCAGCTGACTAAAGTTGGCAACCCCTATAAATACGACATACTCACATAAAACTTACATCTAAGAATACCCTGTGAAATCTAACACATTATTATACGCTTCATTAGCTTAGTGCGGATTTAATATTAGAAAGGCCTGCTTGCAGAAGCCTTATCCTTTGAATGAATCTCAGCTTTGTGGAGACTTAATTCACTATTCATCTGTTTTGAATGTCCGTTTAACACAACATAAACATTAAACGTCAATTACACATTTCACAAATCTCATTTTAGTATAACCTAATAAATATTATGAAGAAGTCGCACTGGTGCTATTTCGGCAAACTTGACCAATACACAGTTAATTCTGTCGACCAGCGTCAATGTCACCTTTATCTCAGTAGCCAGCAACCGCGTATCTGTATTTTCTGCTAGACGAGCTTCATGATCTTAGCACCATAACTTCGCTAACTTCCTAGTTAGCCCAGATCCCTACTTGTGTTTCTCAAGGATTCACTGAATTTAATCGATTCTGTTGTCGCACCACAACCATTTTAACAAATCACAGTGACAACTAGCAGAAACAGGAAAACATCCAAGGCAGACTAAAATAATCCCAATTTGGCAAACGACAGATACAATTTAAGCGCGGCTCTGTAAATTGTAAGATTAACGTTAGTCAAGTAATCATGCGGTCGGGCTACTTTACGGAAAGTTTTCTAATCGCCGGACCGGGCCGGACCGGAACGGAACCTACCGAACGCCTGACCACACGCAAACACGCAATGTCACCGCATATGTAACATTCCGTGCTTTACTTCATAGGAACCCCGCACACGATCAGCCTCTTTGGACGGCGTCCCGCAGCCTTGGCCGGGGCTCTCCTTTATTCTCATCGGTACCGAATGACACGCCGTCCCGGGCGCTTTCCGCGGCGAGGTTTTTATGCTGAACATGCCAGCCTCAGGCCAAATGCCTTATTCGGCCGCTTACTGACTCGGGGGCTGGATAGGGCTGGCCCGGGCTGGGCGTAGCCAAAAGGCAGGTTCGTCATGAAGCATGGTCTTGTAGTACTCGCCCCCCAAAGTTTTAATATTTTGGACAATTATTTTTCCCGAATATGACGAATAACAGGACTCGGACAACTGACCCGTTCCACGAAATTAAGTGACCTAGAGCGAAATAAAGACCTGTTATTTTCTGAAGCACATAGTTGCCACTATAATACTTGGAAAAATTTAAACGCCAACTTTGGTCAGCTGGCTGGAGTGAGGCTTTCAATTTGAGACAAGTCTGCACGCTCACTTGCATGTATGTTTTATTATCCTGTAAATAGTTTGTACTGTTTGCAAACTCTACAACTACGCACGTGTCAAAGGCAGTTACGGAAACAACAAATCAGCAATAAATTAATATACAATAAATAAAACACAGGACCAGGATTTACAAAGACATTGTATATATATATAAAGTGGTGAGTGTGTAAACAAAGTGTCAAGTGTAAAATAACAGACTAAGGCTGCAGCAATAAGAGTCTAGGAGTCTGGCCAGAGCACCAGCCCTGTAGCATTTGCCCATGGGTTGGGAGACGAAGAGGTGATGTCTTCTTGTGGAGTCAGTGCAGGAAGACCTTCTCCAGATCTGGAAGTTCTGCATCCAGCTAATGATGCTCCAGCCCCAACCCTCAACACATATTGAAAACATGTACACATACTGTACAGCTATTTGCACATAAGGAAATGCTTTTATAAGTTTTTTTGACACGCTAGACTTGATGGCGTAGTACCGTTAGTAATGACTATCTCCTGCTGTTATAGTTATTTTGGCAGAATCAATGTACATCAAAGTGTTCAAAGAAGCCATTTTATCTGTCTGTGTCATGTTTGTTTGTTATGTTCTTTCCGATTGGGAACAAAGCCACATGGAGTGATTGTCCAAGCTCTGAGTGGAGGAGGATTTGTATTCCCCAGAAATGTTTGTATTGTGTACTGTCTGTCCTTAGGTTTGATTGATTAAAATCCCCTGCTACAATGAGAAATCCACCTGGATGTGTGTTCTGCTGCTGACTAAGGAATTTGTGTAGTTTACCCTTGGTTTATTTAGCATTAGCCTGTGACTATGGTAAATTCCTGCAGTAGATAAAATAGTTTGCGTTTTAATGTGAGGAGCTCTAATTCTGAAGTGCAAAGTCTATCAACAGCATTTGTTATTACACCCACTCACACATACACACACAGAGGATTGTAATTATATCTTTGTGGGGACTCTCCATTCATTTCTAATGGGAAATCCCAACATGACAACCTTAACCCCTGCTCAGCCCTAACCTTAACCTTAAGTAACCAAACCAAATACAGTACTAGAGTTGTGGCATTTTTACTTTTTTGATTGCATTCACAGATCTTTGTGGGGACCTGAAAATGGTCCCCACAACATCAAAAAACAGGTTTTTATTACATTGTATCAGACTTTTGGTCCCCACAATGTAATCTAAACCTAATCCACACACAAACACACAAATCCTCTATTCTTGCCTGAGTCTTTGAACTTGGCACCGTTTGGTTCTCAGGTAAACAGTTTAATCACTGAGCTACCCGGTACCTTACATGACAGCAGGTACGTCCTTAAATATATTGACTGTCTTTTGTTTGCTCTTGTTATTTATTTTAAATGGTCACTCAACAGTTCTCAAATTAACCCAATATTGTCCGACGTGGAATATTGTGAAAGTGCAACAGACCGCAGTAACATAACATCTGTCAAGTCACTGCTGAGGTTAATTAGTGTTTTTTTTTTGTGCTGTATTATATGTACATTTAAAAAGGCATCAATATGTTCTCCTGCAGATACTAAATCAATTTTTTGTGTTATTAATTGATTACTTGTGAACTCACTGGTATGCTGTTGGTAGATTTATAAAATTGTTTTTCATAACCCTGGATGATTTGCACCAGAGGTAGTTTGTCTCTACACGGCAATGGTGTAGATCAGTATCTCTCTACGTGGTTCTCAGGAACCCTCAGAGAGTCCACATGTTTGTTCCCTCCCAGCTCCCGGTCAGAAACAGGAACTGACTTGGGGGTCCCTGAAGAGCAGGTTATGAAACGTTAATTGGTTTAGACAAAGGCACCTACAAATTGAAGTCATTTATTGACTCAGTTTTAGTCCTCAGTTTTAAGGTTGGCACCAAGGCACCATATGAAACTTTTGCAGACAACAGGGATAAGTATCCTATGGATACTTTGCTGCCGCAGTAACTTAAATGCATGTTAAATTTCTTAGAATGTAACTGCACCTTAAGTGCCTATTATCACACTCTGTCTTATGAATTAATGATTTACTTTATCTTGTATTTACAAATTGATTCAACATATTTAATATGTCATTATAGATTAATATAATTAGTATTAAAATATTATTGACTTTCCTTTTCCGTTTTTTTTTTTTTTTTTTTTTTACTAGTTTTGTAATGTATTGTTAATCGCAGAAAGGACCAAATATGGATGCTGGTGAACACATTAAAAAGATCCACACATTTGCTGAGGCCAACTGCCAAGGCTTTCTGAGAAATGTATGAGGAAGATGTACCATCAGTTTTCTTAGTCCTATTACTGTCTTTGCTTAGTAAACTGAGCTTATTCAAAGAGAGCTAGGTTAGGATTCTGCTCTCACTTGTTTAAATAGTGTAGGGAAAAAAGTCAAACATTTGGTATTATAAGTATATCAATATTATAATGCATATATTATCATTATGCTCATCTAGCTGTTTCTAGTGAAGCATTACTTATTTGGACCTCGGCAATGTATACAACAGTACACGAGTTGAAACATATGCCTTTAGTTATACAGATGTGGGATCTACACAGAGCACAGGATGGCAGGGCCGTGCAGAGACGTTTAAAGGGGCGGGTGCTCAAAGTTAAAAAAGATAGAACAGGCTGAATAACAACAACTCACATTCATGACGAATCTAATATGGAATTATGTGGATATCCATATTAGATCGTTTTTAGTGAAATAAAAGCCCTCCAGATAAGAAGGGAAAAGTCCTGTAACGTACTTTAA